CTGACAACACCAAGTCAAGGGTTAAGATCCCCTTACCAGTCATCTTAAAAAAAAAAAAGTAATTAAGTATCTGTATGAAAAAAGGTCCAAATGGTTAGTAGTGATGATCTCTGCAAGAGTGGGATTACAGGAGACCAGAGCTTTGTGAAACACTGAAAATTTTAAAATAATGAATATACTTTTGAAGCAGAAGAAAATCTTGTAATATACGCACAGTCAAGGGTGAGAAGATAAACACAGATAACCAGGTACTGATCTGGGAATCAAAAGTTTGGCCATTACCTGCCTGTTATTATCACTTTAATCTCTTTGAGCCTGTTTCCTCCCAGTAAAATGGGGTAATAGTGCTTGTTTCACAGTGCTGTTTTGTGAATTAAATGAATCAGAAATGGGAAGGGGTAGTTCAAAGTTGCAATTTAAGGAACAGGAAAAGAATCCTGTCCACCAATGCCCCACATGCTCTTTCTCCAAGCTTACCTTCTCCACTGGGATGAAGGCACTGGGCCCTCGAGGGCCTCTCCGAGCCCTGTTCTCCCTCTGCTCCTGGATGGAAACACACTGAAGATTAGTAGTAGAAGGAAGGATAAAGAGGATTGTTATCTCTCCAGCTCCTCCTCCAACCCCAAAGGCTATGCTGAGCTTTTAAAACCATCTTTCTGGCACACCTTGCATGGAGGAGCTAGGAGATAGGAGAGATACAACTGGTTTGGCTGGTGGTGAAAGGGTAAGCAAGAGAAAGGGCTCACCCCAGGCTGAATTCTTCAGGAATTGGGCAAGAACCTGGGAGCCCAAGCATTGCTGGGTGGGAGGGGCCCAGAGAAGGGAAATATACAGTGTTGTACATCTCCAGGAAGCCACCTTTTTAAGCAGCCCCAGAGAACCCACACGAGACCACTCCCCCTCCATCGTTCCTATCCCAAAGCCAGGTAACCAAGTACTCCAGATGTTAGGAAGCAGCTTCAATCTCTCTTCAATTATCCCTCCATCCACCACTGCCTGAAAGTCTGCCACCATCTCTTGTTTGAACTACCACTCGCACCCCACCAGTTGTCTCCGTGCCTCCAAAGCCCGGCCCTCTCCTATCCATCCTCTACCCAGCAGTCAGATTAATTTTCTGAAGTGTAAATCTGATCGGCTGGCTTAGAACTCTACCACCCCTCCCATGGCCTTCCAGATAAATTAGTTTCCCAGGCCCAATGCCCTCCCACTGAGCATCTTTTTAGTCCTTTAGGGAATAAGAACCTTTTTCTGATCCTTATCTGTGACCTCACAATTCCCAGTGCTTTTGCTTCTAAAAACAGCTGTCTTCTAATTGTCTATTTTAAGTCTCCCTACTACCCGGTCACATTTTGTGGAGAGCAATGCCAGGTCACTTATATTAGTCTGTGAATGAAAATAAAAGCAGAGAGGTATGGAGGGAACCACAGCAGGGTGTATGGGGCTGATGGTAGCAGCTATTCTGACATGTATATATTTGAGCCTCTTTAGAAACCACTAGGGGCCGGCCCGTGGCGCACTCGGGAGAGTGTGGCCCTTGGGTGCGCAGCGGCGCCGCGTGTTCGGATCCTATATAGAGATGGCCGGTGGGTTGCGATCCCCTTACCGGTCACAAAAAAGACAAAAAAAAAAAAGAAACCACTAGAATCATGTACTCACTAAATCTGCTTCTCCTAGTCCTAGAGGTGGGATTCAGGGAGGAGGTTTTATTTATTCATTTATTTTGTTAATTACAGGTGGGGAGCACTTAGCACTGGCCTTGAAAACAGTTTACCCAAATCAGGGTCATGCCTTCACTGGACAGGGACACACACCCCCCAATTCGAACCTCCCCATGAAGATCCAGACTTAGCACCAGCCCCCTCAGGCTTCCAGGTACTAAAAACTATAATTGAACCTTCCTTCTCAGGTGGCCAAAAGCCCACCAAGGGAGGCAGAGCTCTGGGGCTCTGGAGGACTACAAAGGAAGGAACTATGGAACTTGGAAGTCCTGGGTGTGGGTGAAAATTCTGCCACTAACTTGCTGTGTGGCTCTGGGAAAGTTACCTATACTCTCTGGGCCTTAATCCTGGACAAAGGAGGTTAAGCTGACTGCTCAGGCCCCTTTCAGCCCACATTCTGGGGGCTACCAGGCCAGGAGGATCCAAGTCCAGCGTAGTAACCACCACAGTCCCAAAGCACTCCCTTTTCAGCTTCCCTCCTCCCTCACCAGAGAAAAAGCTCAACAGCTCTGTCTGAGAGATAAGGATTGCTGACTCTACAAATTGGGCCTCCCCCTCGGGGGACCTGAGGACAGATAGAAAACCACAGCGGGTGGGGCGGGGCAGAACTGGGAGGGGGGAAGGGAAGGCCCACCAGAGGTGCTGGGGAGGGATAAGGAACAACCTTGGGAATACCATCTCATTACAAAACCTGACCCAGGAGCTGTCAAAGGAAGGGGCTGATACCTGTGGGCCTTTAAGTGATGGCTCTGGATCCATCAGCATTTTCCAGCAACAATGATAATAACAGTGTAGAGTGCAGTTGAAAGATAGAGGCACTTAATACACACTACATGGGCTGAAATGACAGCTTGGCCTCCTACTATCTGTTAGCTTATGAGCCTCAGTTTCCTCACCAAATAATGCAGATAATAGTACCTACTTTCACTGGGTAGCCATGAGTTATTCCAAAGAAGGGCTTCTCAACCCAAGCAGTACATAAGAGTCCCTTTGAGAAGCTTTTAAAAAAATACCAATGCCAAGGTCCCACCTCCAGCAATGCTAATTTAATTGGTCTGGGTGGAGCCCCAGTATAATGTACAGCCAGGGTGAAGATCATCCTTCGCACCATTTACTGAGCACTTTCTCAAGTACAAAGCACTATGCTAAGTGCTTTCCAGGTGGAACCAGACTCAATTTGTTCTAATATTTTTGATGACTGTATTGTAGGCAGCAAGAATACAGCAGTGAAAAGACAATCTCAGCCTTCATATAATTTCAGATCCAATGGAGAAAGACAAACAAATGATGAATAGGATTTCAAATCATAGAATCTATAAAGTGAATGAAATAGAGCAATGAATGTATGATGGGTTGGGAGAATGTGCAATATTTTAGTGTGTGTAGACAGGAAAAGCCACTGAGGAGGTGACCTTTGAGCTGATATCTAAATGATGAGAAGGGCCTGTAAAGATCTAGACCAGCATTTCTGCCAGAGGGAGTGGACAAGTGTAAAGCCCCGAGGGCAAGACCAATACCTCGAATACCTCCCTGACCTTGACACCAGGAGAAATCCAGGGGAAAAAGGCAGGGCAGGGTCCCACTGCCATGAGATCACACCTCCAAATCAGCCCTCCCCCATTCCCTGATGGAGAGAGTCAATAATAATAATAATAATATTAATAATAATAAAGTAACAACACTTGTTGCCATTGGCTCAGCATTGACTCCATATGTACTACCTAGACTTTAAGGTAGAAGCTACTACTGGGGACACTAATTTACAGATGAGGAATAAGGCTCAGAGAGGTAAAGTCACCTCTGGTCACTCAGCCAGGAAGGAGGTAGGAAGGAGAGCTGGGAAACAAACCAGGTTCCTGAGAGTGCAGAAACTGTTCCCTTCTCTAAACTTCTCAAGGTCTCAATAATCTCAAGGCTTGGGCCGGCCCGTGGCTCACTCAGGAGAGTGCGGTGCTGATAACACCAAGGCCCCGGGTTCGGATCCCATATAGGGATGGCCGGTTCACACCAAGTCAAGGGTTTAGATCCCCTTACCGGTCATCTTTTTAAAAAAAATAATAATAATAATCTCAAGGCTTGTTTATCTGTAGTTCACCAGAAGTGAGAAGCTCCTTTTCTCTGCCTATAGTACCTGGATCCACTACCCCCAATCACAGAACCTGTCACACTGTTTCTCACCTTGAATGCACACACTGGATCTAGTTCTCTGTTGTTACCCCAGTGTCTAACAGAACACAGCCCAACAGAACTTTCTGTGATGATGGAATGTTTCATATCTGCACTGTCCAATAAATATGGTAGTTCCTAGTCACTGTGGCTGAGCATTTGAAATGTGATGTGCAACAAAAAACCTGAATTTTTTCATCCTACATAATTTTAAGTTATCTAAATTTATTTATTTATTTATTT